TTTTTTTTTTTTTTTTTTTTTTTTTTTTTTTTTTTTTTCCGGTCCGGACATTATTTGTGTCTGGTGTACCGGTCCGGACAGTCTGGGTTCCGTCCTGTCGGGTTGTCCAGTGCCTGTCCGGATTACCAGACATGTCCAGGTCCGGGTCCCGGGTTGCCATGTCACAAATTGTGCAAAATAATAATGAATGTTCCCCTAGAACATGGAAAGATACACTGCCATAATGTTTGTGTTCTGTGCATGTCCGGAGCAGTGGAGCGGGGCCCTAATCGAGTGAGGGAAGAGGCAGACGAATGCACTAATGAGCATCCTGACAATTGACTTTTTTTTGTGGATGTTTCTCAACCCAATTATGCTCCAGTGCAGTGAAAACGGTTGAAGTGAAAAAATAGTTGAACAGATCCAGCGGCCCAGCGCAGTTGGTAAGGCATGCAAGGTCATTCAGGTGGTCTTGGGTTCAATCCCCATTGGCCTCATGTACCTTCCTGGGCAAGCTTGGCGCCCCCCACCTAGAGATATGCTGTTGGTCCCCCCCGAGTGGCATTGAGCAGAGACTGCTGATGTACATAGGGGGAGCGGGGCCCTAATTGAGTGAGGGAAGAGGCAAACCAATGCACTAATGAGCACTGACAATTGGCTTTTTTTTGTGGATGTTTCTCACCCCAATTATGCTCCAGTGCAGTGAAAAGGGTTGAAGTGAAAAAATAGTTAAACAGATCCAGCGGCCTAGCTCAGTTGGTAAGGCACGCAAGGGCATTCAGGTGGTCTTGGGTTCAATCCCCATTGGCCTCATGTACCTTCCTGGGCAAGCTTGGCACCCGCCACCTAGAGATATGCCGTTGCCCCCCCCCCCAGTGGCATTGAGCTGAGACTGCTGATGTTCATAGGGGGAGGGGACAGGAGGGGAGGCACAGTAACTGGCCCATCGAAGAAGTTCATTCCTGATGCTACGGGCTGACCCCTGCCCGGTATCACCCACCTGCTGTGGCAGGTATCGCACCTGCTGGTGGGTGCAGTTCCCGCATGTTCCCTCGTTGGAGGCTTGAGCACGGATGTGGCTGCTACGGGGTTCCCCGTAATACTACTATAATGACAATAAAAAACGGCCTGAAAGGCCGTCCTGTCCAGATTTTGAAACATCTAATTGAATTGGTTGGGCTTAAAGAAGGAAAAGAAAAAACAAAGTTGAACAGGGTACCAACTGGCCTAGCTCAGTTGATACCCTCTGGCCTAGCTCAGTTGGTACACCCCTGAACTATTCAAATGCACGCCCGAGTTCGAACTCCACTGGAAGCAAATGAGCAAAATACCTAGGAAGATTTTCATGACCGGCCGGTCACCCAGGTGTGACGCCCGGGATACCCGGGCATCGGGGGGAAGGGGGGGAGAGGGGGAGAACCTTTTTTGGGTGGTGGGGGTTTTCCGCGCTCTCCGAGGACCCCAAATCGGGGCTCTGTTCTTTTTTTGAGTGCTGGCTGTCAAAGGGGGGGAAGGGGGTTATAAATTGGTTTTAAAGGGGCTAAAGGGGTTTAAAGGGGGGTGCCTCAGTGTGATTCGATTATTTTCTTTCTTATCTTCTGCTCCGTGACGAGTTCTTTTTTTTGTAGAAAAAGGATCAATCTTTATTGATCTGAAAGCCGGGAACCGGCCCCGGCGTCCCTTACAAGGGTCACCACAACTATGTGAACCTCAGCCGGATTTTTTTGGATTTATTTAAAAAATTTAATTGTTTAGTGTTTTGCGCTGGGGCTGCCCGGGGGGCATGCCGACCGGCGACTGGGCACCTGGGTGTGTATCCTGGCACAAGATGGGTGCCCGGGCGCCCGGGAAAATAGCCTACCAAAATACTGCAATGATGCAATCTGAAAGTGTGGTGATGATATTTCAAAGCCGTTGTGACGAACCGATTTCTGCACCGCGCGATCTTCTGCGCGGTAGCAACGAGGGGTCCTAAGAAGGGAAGGATGGGCCAACTACGGGAGATCGGGATGGAAGGGAAATTGCATCGGTGTCCTCGCTTCTTCCTCCTTTTTCGTCGTCTCTTTTCGGATGGTTGGGTTCAGGGCCGGGTGAGTCCCGGGACGATCGATCGATTGATTGGCTGTGTGAGTGACGTGCCGCCGTGCTCGCGATTAGTAAATGTTGACGTCTCTTCTTTTGTTTCGGTTTTGGACTTTTGGGCGCGGACATCGCTCGGGAATTTTGCTTCGTTCCTTTTGAAATTTCTTTTTGAAATTCTTTTTCGAATCTTGTCGAGCCACTATGGCTCTCGGAATTTTGGACTTTCTTTTCAGATTTGTGTTTTTTACTTTTTCTGCATTAGATAGGAATTTAGGAATTTTGCAATTAGGATTTTCTTTTGCCGCGCAGTGCTTTTTGCTTACGCGCTTCTCTGTGCGGCTGCGACGGAACTCTGATTAGTCAGCGCCTTTAATCGTGTGTGGATTTTCTTTTGCCGCGCAATGCTTTTTGCTTACGCGCTTCTCTGTGCAGCTGCGACGGAACTCTGATTAGTCAGCGCCTTTAATCGTGTGTGTAACTGTAATTTTGGGCGGGGCCCATTGTAACTGTATCTTTTCTTCTTGTGCTTCGTCTTTCCTGCTCTCACCTTCTCTTGTTGTGTCTAGCCAGCCCACGGACTGCATGCTCGGATCGATGCGTGGAGAGAGGCTACATCCCCCACGCCGCGGTCTGGCCATGCAGAAAGTAGGCGCTCCCTCTCCTGATCTCCCTTCTAAATCCTTGTAATTTCGTGTTCTTCGCTCATGCATGCACGCAATAAATTTCGGTTGCGTGATTAGATAGCTCTCTTAACCAGCTGTTGGAAGCTCGCGGTAGCGCGATCAGTGAGGATCGGCTCACGAGCGAAGTAAGAGGTAAGTTGAAGTGGGAGTCGGGCAACCCGACGAGCTGGTGCCAAACACGCGGGGTTGACGCGGGCCACGACGGACTGTGGGCGCGAGCGAACCTGACGGGTGCGGGAGGACTAACCGGGGTGACGACTTCGTGGGTTGGTGCGCGACGACGGACTATCCGCATCGGAGAGAGAGAGAGAGAGAGAGAGAGAGAGAGAGAGAGAGAGAGAGAGAGAGAGAG